ATCTGTATAAAATATAAAAATTTGTATATTAATGTTGTTAAGGGCATGTTGTACTAGTATTTGGGATGCTTCATTGTTATGAAAGAGAGTTGAAACTAAGGTATCAATAATGTTAATATTAGAAGGAGGTGGAATGAAGATAGGATGTTTAATTGCTATAGAGTATAGCAGGTCTACATAATTAGCATTAAGTTTAAGTTTTTGTTGGTTGTTTTTCTGCCCAAGTATTGAGTGGATATGGTGGTAGAGACTTCGACTGTGCAGTGGCTGGTAAGATGGTTGGAGTTAAGTTTGTAGCCAGAGCATAGATTGTATATAATAGGAGGAAGTGGGTATAATAAGTAGTACTTGGTGTCTATATTGTGTTGCCAGTGTATAATAGAGACTATATTGGTTTGTTTGAACTTCCTTTTTATTTGACCTATGATAATTTTGCTATTTTGATAGATAAGTATCCATGGTTTTAATCTTTTTGGAATTGTATTGGTTTAGTAGGCAAAGGGGTTAATACCCAGTAGTCAGTATTGTAGATGTATTAGACAGTGCTATAGATTATTTAATATCATCTTTTTTAGGAATAAAAACTAGTCTAGTTTCTTTCCTTTGAGGTGATGGAGTCTGGGAGAGATGTGTTGCCACTCAAGTAGATATTTGTAATCTGCTGAGCTAGACTATTCTAAATAGAGAATACATTTTTTTCAGAGCTATTGTTTGAATATGTTGTACTTGGGGCTCTTGGTAAGTATAGACTTGAGTGGTGTGTTGCTATTTTGAATTAGTTGAGCCAAGCTCTGTTTGAGTTTATAGTCAGACTAATACCAGCTTGCCATAGCTTCTGAATTATTTTTGATATTGTAGTATATCTGTTGGGTCCATCTATAGTAGGCTGTGGGTGTTGTAGTATGCTAGTGGTTGACTATAAATTGCTTTGTAGTTGCTGCAGTCTGATATGAGTGGTAGTACTGAGTGTAGAGCTATTGCTGATTCTGAAAAGTAGGTTGTTAGTATGGTGCTGAAGCATATATCCCAGATATTGTGAATGTTATAGATTTGGTGGCAAAGCATTGTACTATTAGAGATAGATCAAGACAGATGAGATTTGTGTTTGGCAATTGTAAGGTATTTACCAAGTATTTGGATACAGGTAGTGTGGGGAATAACTATATTTGAATTCTATACTACATTGTGGAGACTATAACTATATTAATAACATAGGCTATTTGTTTGTCTGTTATCTTTTTGAAGTTGGCCATGTAAGCTAGGTTGAGGGCTTCTTCTTGGATGAGCTTAATTTGTTTAGTATATTTGTTATTAAGTGTAAACTAGCACTCTAGGAACTTAAAGGGTTGGTTAAGAGGAATTGCTGTTAGGTTTGTTTGCAGAAAAGAGATATCGGCATTTAGGCTGAGTTGATATAAAAGTTGATTTGGAGGGGTTAACTTGGATATTCACCATATTATAAAATGATAAAGCTGTTTGCATAATTCTTTCTAGATCTTCTTTGGTGTTAGCAATCCAGATAGTGTCATCCATGTATGCAAGAACAGATATAGAGCAGTATACATCTTGGCAGAGAGCAAGGTTAGGCTTTTTTGCCATAATGTTTGCATAGTGTAGCCTGGTAGATGTGTAGAAATTTTTGTAATAAGTAGGTTATAGTAGATTCTCCAGAATAAAGAGATAATTGTTTCTCCCTGATCTATGCTATTTTGAACATGATAGGAGATAGTAAGGCCAAGGTTGGTGATAACTCTGTTGGACCAGTTTGCAAGAAGGTCAGTAAAAATTGTAGTAAGAGGTTGTGATATACCAATTTTGTATAAAGATTTTTGGAATAGGCTGAAGTTGACTGAGTCGTAGGCTTTGCTCATGTCTTGTGAAAGTATCTATAGTTGATTGGTATTACAGACTGTATCTACTATAATATTGTTGAGTATGTAAATTGAGACAGAGGTGGAGTTGCCTAGAAGAGCAACATAATTAAAAGGGATAGGATTGGGTGTTTTGATAAGATGTTGTTTAGGCAGTTAGTAAAGAGTTTAGTATAGAGCTTTTTAATATACTCTATAAGACTTATAGGCTTGGTATTAGTTAGGTTTCTGTCAAAAATTAGTTTCTTGGAGATGGGGTAGATTCTGCCTTCACTCCATAGTTTGAAGATTGTATAAATGAGGAGATATCTGTTCAAAAGTGCAGTTGTGGCTTGTAAGAAGGAGGAGCCTGCATGTTTTAGCATCTCATAACTTATTTCTGAGGGACCGCACACTTTGTTGTTGGGTAGTTGACTGAGTATAGTAAGTATCTCCTCCTGGGTGAAAGTAGAAAGTGCTTCTTGGTACCAGTCTGGCTAGATGTGAGGTTTGGGGTTGTATTCTATTTGCCACTCTGTATTAAATAATGTGTCATTAATTGGACAGGTAGCATTCTAGTTGTTAAAATGCTGTTAAATATGTTATTTAATAGTAGTGGGGTTTGTAATAACATCCTGGTTAAGTTTAGTATTGTCAAATTTTACAGGATTTTTGTACCAATTCAGGATACTATTGAGCATTGAGGTTGGATTGGTTTGGAGCTTGGTGCATCTTTTGAAAATTGTTTCAGTAATTTGGAGATGTGTTTGTTTGATATTTTCCAGGTTGTGTGAATAGTATAGCTTCTTCTACTTAGTATTTGCTTTTGCTATCCAGTTAGTATTAGTTGTGTAAGAGGGTATCTCCAGATTGTGTAGTCTGTTAAGCTCATCAATAGTCATGTGTAGGTATAGTTGTATTTGTTGATTAGACTTTGTTAAGTATTTTACTATTCTAATTATGTTTTCAAGCTTTTTGAGGCTGCAGTGGAGCTAAAAAAATGTATAGTGGAAGTTGCATACTGCAAACTTTTTGTTTGGGATATGCCAAAGTGCAGCTGTAATAAGACTGGTTTGAATTTTATGCTATGTAGTTTCAAAAAACTCTAAAGTTGTAGTTGTGAGATGTGTGTTGTGTTGTTGTAGGTTCGTACTGACTTGGTTTGTGAAATTTTCCCATGTATTGGGAGTCATTGTCTTGTAATTGAAGACTCATTTGCAGGTGCATGTTTTGTGTCTCTGTTGCATTAGAGAAGAGCCAATAGGAGATGAAGATTTTGTAGTCACTTTGGGTACTGGTGTTGGGGTCATCTGTATCATAGTTGGTAAGATATTGGAGGATTGGTTGGTAAGCCCAGATGAAGTTAATTTCACTGCTAAGGTTGGCTCTATGCTATGTTAGTGCAGATTTGTAAGAGCGTGAGGCTAAGTTATACATGTTGTTGAATGTAAGGTGCTGGAAAAGTTTAATTTAATTGATTAAGAGTGGATATTTTCTGTGGATGCATTAAAGTCTTCTAGGGTTATTGTAGCAATGTTTAATGCTTTGGCTTGTGCAACTACTAGATGAAAGTGTTTTAGGTCTGCAGTCAGAGTTATGCATTATTGCTGGGGAGATAATTCAAAATTTAAAGTCATGCTTGAAGAAAAGATCAATAGCAATAGCATATCCTGGCACAGTATGAATGCTGTGAATATGTGGAGTGAGGGTATTATGGACTATGATAGCTAGAGATATTATGGTCTGACAAAAACTAAGTTCGAAACTGGTTTATAAACAGGTTCAATCAGTCTTTAGTTCATATTGTGAACTGGTCTATAAATTGGTCCATATAGTAATAATCTTATATGCAATATGCAAATGCATCAGCTACATTGATCGATTATTTATATATCAAATTAAAATAATAGCATAATATATAATATTGTATATAATAAATTACTCAGAGTATGCACCTGTAAATATATAGTCAAATTGGATAATAGTCTAGATATTCATAGCAGAAAACTTCTATGAATGGTCAGATTATTTTAAATTAACAATTTTATACTTGGTTATTATTAAAGATATACTTCATGCAAAATAGAATATCACTCTATTGATTCTCACATAAAATAATATAAATAATTCATTATTACATCAGCATTTCACATGACCGGCATATCTCTAGTTATTATTCTACCTTTAGAGTATTATATCTTCAAAAAATTACTTGTTTCAAATATAAAATCTTATTATTTTATTAAGCTAATGTATAAAATCATATTGTACATAAAAAAACTGATATATAGATAAATGTTAAACTAGGGCTGTGAATCGATTCTATAATAATTATTAATTGAATCAGAATTAATTTTTATTTCCATATAATCATTTTATTGCTGTTTGCAAATTATGTGAAAACAAGTACTCCGGCTACTAAAACAAGAATCAGGGGAATACTCACAATACACATGTTGGAGAAATACAGTAAATAACTTATGGGGATTTGATCATTGATTCTAATTTTTAGAATCGATTCACAGCCCATAGTTTTTCTAGTCTATTTCTTATTGGAAAAATTATAATGATCAGTGATTATCTAATTGTGAATTTTTTATCACAACTATACTATTTTGTTTGTAAACTAGCGCTAAAGTTACTAATCAAATAAGAAAATTAATTAAATTTCAATTGAAAATGAAAAAAACCCTATTAATAATTCCAAAAAGAGAATGGGCTTAGAATATAAGCATGAGAAACCTAAAGTTAATTCAGAAAACACTTCGAATTCACAAAAAAAAAAGATGAGCCAGAAGTTAGTAATCAAGAAAAATAAATGATAAAAAAAAAAAGGAAATATAAAAATATTTTCATTGCATAGCCCAAAGCCTCAACACAATAAATTATTGTGTTTAAAGAATTGAGAATAGAGAAAATGCTTCGTTTTCTCAGTAAAATATGAGACAAAAATTAGTAATCAAAGAATCAGTTAGTCAATTAAAAAAAAAGAAAAAATAGTATGAAAATACTTTCTCTAACATAGCTTCAAGCCCAAGCTTGTATTATTTATAGATTAAGTAAAATTTTATCTGTAATTGTTTTAAAATTATAAAATAAAATTGTTTTTTAATAAAAAATTAATAGATCAAGTTAGTATTAACTCGAAAAATGAGTTATTACCTGGTCACAAAGTTTTAAAATCCATTTTGACCCATTTTTTTTTTTTGAATTGTCATTTTATAAGTCCTGCTCTTAAAAAATTTTTTTTGGTTACCACATTTTAATAAAATTCATGAAGAAAACCAACTTGAATTAGAGGAACATAATGAAGAAACCTTCCTGGATGATGATATAATTTACATATCAGATATTAATGCAGATGATTCTTTTGGCCAAGTGTCAGAATCATCTACCAGTAATGTTTTCCAGGTTAATAATTCAAGAAAGTGTAAATTAACTGTTTGGGTACACTTTAATAGAGAAACTGTTGAATATTTTGGGTAACCAGTTTGTCTTTTATGCAGACAAGTATATGAAATTTTACTGGAGTTTCTACATTAAGAAGACACCTTGATAAACACCAAATAGAAGCGCCTAAAAAAAAACAAACTACACTTCATATCTTTCGAAATGATCACCATAATAAACAAGAGCAACAAAAATAAGATAAAAGGTTAATTTTTTGGTTAATTGTAGACCAACAACCCTTTACAATAGTTGATAATCAATACTTCTATGAGTTCATAGATATTTAAGATCCTCGTTACATTGTTTCTACTAAACAGACTGCAAAAAATATGATAATTGATGAATTTAATCAATGAGCGAAAAAATTAAAGATCATTCTAAGTATATTTCAGGTAAAATCTCTCTTACTGCGGATATGTGAAAATCATTGGATAATGAAGTCTTTTTGGGCCTTACTATTCATTATATCGATTCTAATTGGAAGCTTCAGCATTTTTTATTAGATATAGTCCCTTTTGCAATTAGATATACAGGTGTCAATATATCAGAGGCTATTAGTCATGCTCTTAAAGAATTTAATCTAAGTGATAAAGTAATAGCACTTACAACCAATAATGAGTCTGCTATGTTAACATGTGGCTATTTGTTAGCAGAAGAGTTAGAAAATAAATTTGATAATATTGGATTTTCTCATTATTAGTGTGCGGCGCATTTCTTGAATCTTGTAGCAAAACAAGACTTAATTATGGCTGGTTTAGCTATGAATAAAGTGCGACAATTAATGACAAAAATCAGAGCATCAATTCATCTTTGTGATAAATTACATGTATTATATAATCTTAAAGAAATTAAATATCTAAAAGCAGAGCTAAATATAAAAGTAAGGTAGAATAGCACATTTTATATGTTACAAAAATTTAAAAACATGGAATTAGCCTGAAATCTTCTTAGTGTTGATAATAACTCGATTGCTGAATTATTTCCTAATCATGATGATTAACAAAAATTACAAGTAAGTATAATCATTATTATTATAATATTAAGTTTGAGCTATAAAACTAATGATAATATATAAAAATATTAAATACAGGCAGGACCTTATAATCTTGTTAAAACTATTAGAAAAAGCTACAAAGCATCTATCAGCTGTATCTTATCCAACTCATGGCGATATTCAGTTTTTTTTAAGTTTTCAATAGCATCTGGATATATATATCAAAAAAGAAGAGTTTTCTCAAAGTAATGTGGCTACTTCTATATATAAAAAATTAGTTGAATACTGGAAAATAATAGATAGCTCTTTGGTAATGTCAGCAATCCTTGATCCATGCACTAGGCTTAAAATTTTTAGTGATATTACAGAGAGGAAAATGTTACCGATTTAACTCATCAAGTTTTTAATTGTTATAAGTCTCAATTTCAGTTATCTGCACTGTATAATAATATGAATAATGAATTCAGACCAAGCACCACTTGACAATTCTTTTGGCAACTGGGTTCACAAAACCTTCAACCACCTCACATTAACCATGAAGATCCTAATATCCAAAGCCAATTCACGTCTAATAATAAACTAGATAATTACCTTCATTCTTTGCCAGATGAAAATGCTAAACCACTGTTCTGGTGGAAAATTCATCAAAAAGATTATCTAATCCTTTCAATAATTGCTCGCAACTATCTCTCTATCCAAGCAACATGCATTGCTTGCGAGTAGGCTTTTTCTGTATCAGGTAATGCGATCACCAAAACTCAAAATCGGCTTCATCCTAAAACTAAAAGAGCTTATCTTTGCATAAAATACTGGATTAGTAATAAAATTAGTGGTGTTAAGAAGTAAAAAGCATTGTTATATAATTATAATACTTAAAAAAATGTATAAAGTACCTTTACTGTGCTTAGTATTATAAATAAATATATTCTTGACCTTCTTGACTTTAAAGCTAAAAAAAAAAAAAATTTAGTTATTAAAATTTTGCTCAACTGAATATAAAATTTTTTGTTAATAAGTAAATCCAATGAATGACTCTTGCATTAACAGTGATCTAGAGTTGGGTGTCAAAAAAAAATATATAAACGTGTAGCAGTAGAAGTTCCTTATATGTATTAATACAGTATTACAATACAGTATATGTTTAACAGCAAAATCTGTAGAACCCAGTATAGTTTGACATAGATATTAGAAAATCGAACCAGCCAATCAGAGATTTTCAAATAGACCAGTTTGTAGTCTTCAGTTCAATCTGCATTTCAGATGCTAAACCAGTTTTTTTAAACCAAGACCAGACCAGACCAGACCGTAACATCTCTAATAATAGCTATTCCTGCTTTATAACTATTTGTACAGGACCAGAGATTGGTATAGAGCTGGGTCTTGAGGTGCTTTTGTATAATTGTTTTGTCTGATAGTTTAGTTTCAGAAATGCAGACAATATCTAAATCTTGTTGCAAACAATAGTGCTTCTAGGTTTCTTTTTTGGTATTTGTATTAAGGTCTTGTACATTGTGAGTACAGATATAAAGGGTTAATGGATAGAGTAGTACTGGTTGAGATATATTAACTTAAGAAGTATCACAGTTTTGTGTGTTATTTGCGTTAGGTTAAAAGGTTGTGGAAGTGTGTGTATTATGAGAATTACTCATTAGAGTATTCATTAGTATTTATTGGTGTTGGTTTGTCCAGTAGAAGGGTGTTGTTGTCAGTAGATGAGGCTTTTTCGATAGAGACATCTGCTACTGTGGTGTTAGGCTCTTCTGTAAGTACTGGGTCATATGTGGGATCCTCTGGTATTGGTATGATACTGGTATAAGACATGACTATGCTAGGGGTATTTGGGCATGAGATCATGAGTATACTGTTAAAGATACTCCAACATGGAGTAGGAAGTGAGGGAAGATCTAATAGAAAGTCAAAAATTTTCTTAATCATGTAGAATTGTTTTACAATTTTCATTGTGGAAGTAATATTTGATTGGTTTGGTATTGGATGATTTCTTGTTTAGAGAGAGTATTGATAATTTCCTCTATATTGTCAGGGATATTAAGGAGGGCTTGCTTTGTGGCTAGGTTGATTTCCTCTGCTAAGGTAGGGAAGCTACTCTCGATTTGGATTTATTCAGATGGAAGCTAGGCAAAGTAGTAGTATTTATAGAGAAGTTTGGCTGTAGTCATAAGTTGCTGTAGGGTTGTAATAGGGAAAGAAATATTAAGGTATTCTGTGATTTCTTTTGCAGATGGCAAAGAGGGTTTATTGGGTTGGGTTGGTCTGCATGATTTTTGCTGGAATTGGGAATAGAATTCGGTAGTAAGGAGAGACTTGTTTGACAAACTCTCTTGCCTCAGCGTCCTCAGTAATAGAGTAGTTGAATAGGGAGATAGTTTTGATCTTGCTTGTATCCTTTGGGAGAAGAGGTATGGTGGCAAAAAAGTCATTAGGAAGCAGTTTAAAGGTGTAGTATTCTCTAAGCTGAGAAACAACTTCAGCAAGTGGGATAGTAGAAGTGGTTTGGTTGAATGGGAAGAACTTGTGCCTTTGTGGTTAAACTCTTGGTAGGTAGTAGGTAGTAGTTTTTTGTGAGGTAGCAAGTCAAAATAGGCATCCGGGATTTGATAATAGTGTAAAAGTCTGCAAGTTTCCTTTTGTATGTAGCTAGGTGTTGAAGAGAGGATTGGTGAGTGATCGAGAATAGTTGACGTAGGCTGGCTGTGAGGCTATTATAGTGAGGAGAAAGTAAAGAGAGTTTTGCAAAGTATGTCTCTGAGAGTTCTGAGAATTTAAAGATTCTTCTTAGAGCGTTTACTATAGCTCTAGAGTGTGATCATTGTGTAATAGAGAGTTTGAATGACAAAATCTCCAGGATTTTGCTGGGGATTTGTGCGAGTGTGTCAGGTAGTGGTATAAGCTTGTTTTCAAGAGCATTAGTAATTTGGGCTCTAATCTCTTTGGGGGTTTCTTTGCTAGTATTTTTGATTTGCAAGAATCCTCTTGCATATTGAATAGCTTTGTAGATTTGTCTGTGTGTTATTTTGGAGAAGTTGATATTAGAAAGATACTGTGAGATATGCATTTTCCTGAGTATAGAGTAAATAGTGTTATGGGTTGTAGTGTTGGTAAATATAATCTCATTATCTTTTTTATATGCTGCAAGAGCAGTATTAAAGAGGTTTGTATATTCTTTTTGATGTGCCAGAGTAGTCCTAGAGTTACATGTAAAGGTGGTAAAGAATCTAGTATCCTGGTAAGTGAACTTGAGAGCGATTGCCTCACGTAGCTTATGTTTTGTGTTGTGAGAATTTATCTTGTAGCTGATGAGATCATAGATGCCTTCTAGGGTCTCGAGAGCCTTTGCAATTGCATTATATGACCAAAGATTTGTGTCAAAGGGGACATTGATAGGTGTAGTAATCTTAAAGTATACTTCTGAGACCCATTCCATGTCATCTTCCGAAGCATCAGTGGTAAGAAGTTTTAGCTATAAAACATATTCCTTACAAAAAAATCAACACTGTTAAAGAACTTAAAAACAAACCCTCTACCAAAAAATCTTTACTCTATTACAAATACAATATCTTAAAAACCACTATTCTTCCAATTTCAATTCTCTCTTTGATCACAATATCCTGAAAACTCTCTCCCTACAAATAACTCTTCACTTATACAAATCAAAAATAAGTTCCAAACTATCTAAACTGCACTTAACCATCAATATCAACAAGAATTTTACTCTCAAATTAAACAAAAAATAGAAAATCATAACAAAACCTTTCTTAAAACCACTAAAATCTTCTATAAAAACATACTTCAAAAACATAATAATATCAATATTGATTGTCTCCTTCTAAACAACTTACTTCTAACTGAACACAATAAAATTCTTAATGCAATCTATAACTACTTCTCTAATTACTTTGATGAAAAACCTCTAATTCTAATTCCACTATCCTCTGATTTTTATAACCTATATTAACTACACCCAGAACTTGAACCACTTTATAATGATTTGCTTAATAATATTTCAACTCAGGAATAGATAGAA